GATGAAATCTGGTCAGATTTGGAAATAACTTGCAAACAAGGGTTTTATTATAACTGTTAGTTAAGCCGGTCCTCAAACCGTCTGGTTCATATTACTGCCCTCTATACCACTTGCTTAAAGTTCTCTTGGTTTAGATATGAAAATAGCTTTTGATGGAATTACAGATATTCTGAATTTGAGATGACGGTCTTAATTAAAATTGCAACTTAGAGTAACTACAGTTTTCTAGTTCCAAAAAATGAACTAGATTGCTGGTTTACTTGTTTCCCAGCGTTTGATTGCTGGAGTTACAGACATTCTGAATGTGAGATGATGGTCTCAATTAGTATGTATGTCGAGTTGTATGGAGAGTTGGAGAAGGTAGATTCTCAATTATTCCATGTACTTCAAGGTCAAGGATGAGTTAATCCCATGAGTGCACTTGAAAAGATGTGATCTCAATGAAAGTTGCTTGTACATCATGATCATACTGAAGTTTTAACATTTCTGTTGAATAATATAAATATAAAGTATGAGGATAGTTAAGTTCTCATTGGATTTATTGAGGGAAAATTTAGGATTTTGGTGAAGTTTATTGATCCGAGTCCTCACTGGTAGATCATGGACTGTAGGACTAGAGCTTTCACTTGCTTGTGCAAACCTCGTCATGGAATCATTAACAGACTCAAAATTTTATTGTCCAAATGAATATTAATTTTGTATCTTGCAAATCGGTTTGAAATGTGCAGCTGGTACATGGTGGGAATATAGAACCATTTTGTTTTTGAGTTTTTCTGGTGCACTTTTAGCTGAAAGCAAGATTCAGTTGGCCAATGTCAATAAGGAATAGTAAGGCTTACACCTGGATAAAATATAAATAACTTCCCCTACGAAATGTTCGGCTCAGTGTCTTCATTGATCTCCCCACCTTTTTTCCGGGTACCTTATTAGGGTATTACTTGTAGTTTTAGTATGCCACATCTGTAACATACTATCCTCCCTTATGCAGGTAGGTGACTTTGCCAATTGCTTGATTGAGGCTAGGAATGAGCTGCAGCAGAAGTAAGTTCATAATTATTGTTATGTTTTACAAATCCAGATGTTTGTTTTGGCTTTTCAGTTGTTTTGCTTACCTTTGTGGTTATTGTTTTTAGAAAAACATGCTGCTTGATTTTGATCTATGTAACAAGTTTGCCCGACCTTTTTCTTCCATCTAAGCCCTTAACTACTTTTCTACTGTTCGTTCTCATAATATTGAATTGCTCTCTAATTCTTTTTTCGCACCTTTAAACATAAACATTGGTTCTCATATTCTTTGCTTAAGTTTCCATCATTAATCTGTTCTTTGAATGCCGACTTTCCTATTTGATTTCCCTGCTATGATTGTACTGCAGGTCTGAGGTGATCAAACGTAAGTTTACAATAACAAGGGCTCTACTATTCAAAGCAGATCGATCATCATTTGATCGCCTAAGGCAGCAGGTGAGCAATCGTATGAGATAAATTTATGCTTCTGGTACGAAGCGGCCATTATCATTAATTTTGATCTCCGCTGATAATGGATGGATTTGCATGTTTAGATATACAAGCTGGAAATGGAGCAAAAGAGATTAGAAGAGGATGCGTTTGTCTATAACTGGCTCCAACAGCAACTTAAACTATCACCGGCCTATAAGAAGGTACAATTCAAACCTGCATTCAGATTTGTTTATTGTTAGTTTTGTTAATTCTGTTGTCGGTCTTAGTTTTTGAGGAAAGTTAGCAGAACTTAATTGCGAATAAAGCTTTTTTTCTTCGTCGCTCTTCTCTCGGCAGTTATCTCAATAACCTAGAACACGATGTTGTGTTTCATGGAAGTTGCTTCTTTGCCCTTTCTATACATGCAACTTAAAGAGCGTTTATAATGTTGTTTGCTCTCTTATTGCAATTAGAACAGACATTATTGTGGTTGTAATGAGTAATGACTGTTTCCCAGATGCTAGAAGTTTGTACTTGCATGGAGTCAAAGGGGAAGTCCCGCGAGCCGATTGAAGACACGGATTCTGAATTCACTGACATCTCTTTTGAAGAGTTATTAGCTCAAGAAAAGAAGGATTCGTTTTGGTTGGTTGCTCATCTTTTAACTCCTGGTTTCTGAATTTTGTGTACAGCACTTATGATTCACCTTTCTTCTTCGAATTTTCCGCGCAGGCAGAAAAATGGGAAATCAAGATTAAGCTCAAACTGATGACAGCATTTCTTTAGCCAACTCGACTGAGAAAATCACCCCACTTTTTGTAGTACGTATCTTTGAATTATGTTTCTTTAGTTTCTGCAGTAAAACCATTGTCATAACTTTAGGTTTTACAGGCTCTCCGTGGAAAGCTATTAAATCGTATAGAACGACGAAACTCTCTGATCGTTATACGCCGTGCTTTCAGCTGAAGTTCAGCCCTCAGCTAGCACAGCCAACTCCCATCTTTTGAGACCCAATCATTGGCGTATTCCATCACTGCAATCTTTATATATTGCATTGATGTTGTCGAGCTTTAGTTGATCTAAGGAGTTTTGGTTTGAGTAAAAAGCTAATTATATCGCTCAAAACATCTGCATCCCAGATTGAAAGCTAATGAAATAGAAGGTTGGTGTTAATGTAGATTATACAGAACTTGAAAATATTACCGCTGTTTAATATGAAGATTCGCGTTTAACAGAGTTGATAATGAATTTATGTCACTGCAGGCACAATGGCCAATGTATTTTATATCTCCATTTCATGCCATATTATGTTATTATCATATTATATAGATTTCGACGTATATGCTAATATTCATGTTGTGTTGGCCGTTATCGATTTCCAATGACGGATGCATTAAGGGACAAGGGTGGACACATGCTTACTCTGAAATTTAAATTTTCTTCGATTAGTTATTTATTTTATCGATGATATTCACCTTAGAAGTTTATTGTGTTCACCTTGAAATTTGAATTTTTTTCGATTGTGACCTATTTTATTAATGGTGTTCACCATGAAATTTTAGTTATGCCTGTCTCGTTAAAAAAATTTAGATCTTTAACATATATGTGTGCATTATCAAAAATATTTCTAAATCCCGTCACTGCTGATTTCTATTTATTATATTTCTGGAAATAAAAAAGAGTGAACCGTTTTTAACTAATGTAATTTCCATTTTTCATAATATTAAATCAATATTCATACTTGAACAGAATAATTCCGAATCTTGAAATATATGAATGTCAGATATAAATGATAAAATTGGAATTATTTAATATGAATAATAGAATGGAATTATGATTTCAGAAAGCAAGGGTAAGCTGATCTCTAATTCTTTATCGGTTTCTCCGAACACTTGCAGACAAAAGCAAAGCATTGCATTGAGATGTGAGCTTTGCATCAGATTTTACATTTCACAGAGTTTTAACAAGGGGCTGCTCGCCTTTCATTTTGTTAGCTAAGGTTAAGCCCATTATCAACTTATCTTCAACAGCCATGGCATTGTGCTCAACCTTCTGCCCTCGTATTCCCATTAACTTCAGAGCCAGACCCATTTCTTCTCTTATTTCAAAGCCTCTGCTTTCTCTTTCTTTCAAGGTTTACTCTTCTCAGGCCATTGATGCTTCACCCCAAGGTATTTCCTTAACTTGTGTTCTTGTGTTCTTGTGTGTTCTTGTATAATTTGTTTTCTTTCTTCTTTGATAGCTAGTTTTCTTTTCTTTTTCTTCGAAAATGAAAAAGTAAAATTCTTTTTGTGCATAAGTTGAATTGCCCTTCTCCATAAATGCTATAGATTTCTTATAAAGATGATTTGGAAAAACTGTCGGGTGTCTTTGCAACAAGGAAAAGTAAAAACCTTGAGGAATTATTTGGAAATTGAAATTCATGGAGATTTGTGTTGGATTCAAGCCCAAAGGGTTCTCAATTTCTCACTGAATTTATAACTTTATAAGGTACAGTTTCCAGACGTGTTATCTAACTCTTACAAGGATTACGCTTAATGTAACAGATAAATTTACAGGTCGAGTTGGGTTTCTGGGTCTGGGAATTATGGGATCACCAATGTCATAAAAGCTGGGTACGACTTGTTTTCTCTTCTTAATCAGTACTGATAGAACCATCAAACTGAAATGAAATTTGGGTCTTAAAAGATGCTGATTTCGTTCACAACAGCGGATGATGGATCCTCTTGTGATCTTGTTCTCTCTTTGCATGACATAAAGCCTTTAGCATCAATTTGAGTGGAAAAATGATTCAACTTTGTAATTTCCATTTCTTTAAGCACCAAAGATGACCCGACTCTAAAGTTGATGTGTTTCCCAGTCCACTCCTATCGCAGCTGCGGTGAAAGAACTGTACAAGGTTGCAAAATCATATGGCCTCAGTGATGACGATTTTTCGGCAGTTATTGAAGCATTGAAAGCTAAATCTCACAACGCTGCTTAACTTTATGTTTCTTTTTTCTGTCATTTATGGGGTACAAAGCTGATTAAGACGTGCTTTTTCATGTATGATGATATTTAGGTTAACCTCTTCAACCCCTATTCTATTCCGCTCCACCGATCCATGAACTCAGTTCGGATTTCCGAGATTCTTATAGATATAATTAATTTTAAAATACAAATTTTGCATTTGTTAGAATTCAACAATCAGAAACAAATCACAAAATTGATGATAGTTATTCATTGCAAAAATAGTAAATACAGGTAACAATACCTAAAATTGTACTAGGACATTTTTACACCAGATTCTCTAATAGTGTCATGAACATGCATCAATGCTAGGCCGAAGAAATAAGAAACAATTTCAGTATAATGAATTCACAAATTCCTAATTGTTTTAATGCAGAAACTAAGACCAGTGTTGGGAAAAGCAGACCGGATTGGCTGGTAACCTGTTCAACTGCAAACCAGTGGCCCATCCAGTCTGACACACACCCAAAAACTGTGGATATGATGAACGATGACAGGGAAGAAGAAAGTAAAGGCAAATACCTTGAAAGTTACATCATATGTAAACACAACGTCCTTGCCTACATCAACTTATTGTGGAACAGTACTAGCTTGAGTTTGATATTTGGTGTCCTTATTGCATGTTGCTATCTGGGGATTCTTCTCATCCCATTCTTTGTATTCATGATTAATGCTGTTAATAAAAGCCACAAAACGGACAATAATGACATAAGTATGGCAGTCATTTGATAGCCAACAGAAAATAATCATGATCCTAACTAGTTTCTTAAATTCCAAGGCGAAAGCTACAAATCAACTAATTTTGACTTTAAAAAACCTGGAAAATGAACAAAAAAGTCGAGAAAATGATATAAAACCTTTTTGGGGTAAGCTCAAACCCAACAATTCAAGTAGCATCAGTCTCAGTATCCCTGTGAAACATGACCCTGAAGCTCAAGTGGTTGTTGATAAAATACTTCTCTTCCTTGCTCTGTAAAGGAATAATAGTTACAATAAAAGTAAAGAACACATAAAACTTTGAAAACAAAACTAGGTTCCCTGAACATACCCCCGCATAATTCCCTTGGAATCCAACTTGGAAACCATGTTCATATGTTGTTGACTGACTTCCGTCTCTCCTTTGTCTAAAAACAGCGACTGGAAGATTATAAATAATCGCTTGCATCAACACAAACTTATTAGCAATCAAAGGAGAGTGGCTAGCAAACAAAACGAACAGTAAAAGCAGTAAGCATCTCCATGAAAAGAAACTAACAAGGAAACATGAATCATAGGCATCATTTTTGTTACATATTAACTCGATATTCATCATCAATTTTTTCTTTGAAATTCTTTCAGATCCAGCATCAAGTTTTTTTCGACAGATTACTTTGCAAGGTTGATCCTCCCTCATTTCAAACTAAAAAGCAAAATGCATTATAAACAAGAAAAAACGAATTACAGATATAATCTATTAACCTTTCCACTGAATACCACTTTTCACCAACAGCAAATACATAACACCACAAAAGGTAACAGATGCTCACGGTGTAGACGGAATTCTCTACGCAGTCACCACGTAGCACCTCCCCCAGATTTTCAGCATTGTTCACAATCTTGGCTGGTTTACAGTAGTCTAAGTAGTAATGGTCATATGGTACTTGTGTCTTTGTAGATGACAGTTTGTTCACCTTAACATACAGGGGATCACCCTGTTCAGAGTAGAAAAAAGGACAATTTAAGGCATAATAAAATTAACAACAACAAAGGAGACAAAACCTAACCATTATATTTACTTATATTACCCGTTACACAGAACCAAAGCAATATAATCCGATCCATGCAAAGTGAATTACATATGAATCTAAAACCAAATCACTTTTAAGTATTTGCACATAGGTGTTGATATTCACGTTACACAATCAGGAAACACAAATTAAAACATGAGTCTTGCAAGACAGCAAGATTAGCCATGCATTTTTAAGCTCAAATAACTTTCACATTGATTAAGGGGGGGGGGGGAAAGATTGATTCAATAGCTAAATATCTTGCCAAAATACATCACGCAGGCTATCAACCGGTTACATCCTTAATACTCCATAATTTCTTAATGAAAACATGATTCTCCCAGCATTGCAAGTATAAAATTCATGAAACAAACAAATGGTACTAGCATATATACAAATGTTCAATTTCACTTAATTGAATAGCTTTCTTTCAGAGCCAAAATCCAAAACTTTTAATGCAATTAGAGCGAAACGAAGGTCAAATCACATCCAAAGGAATAGAACACATTAAGATCAAACCATAAAACCTACAATCCCCATGAATAAAAAAAAACTCAAATGCAAAATCAACACAAAACACTATAAAAAACAAGCCAAGATAAACCCAGAAAGAGGGTACCCTTTGAAAATCACGAGGGGCGACACCAGGGAGATAGAAGGAATGAGCAGTTGATAACAAAAGCCATGAAGCAAACAAGGCAATCTTCCATTTCGTAGCCATTTTACCACTTTTCTTTTGCTCTTAGATTGGTTTCACTACTTCAGGAGAATTGAGAGAAGGGATTTGAAAAAAAGTTGAGATGGATGACACAAGCTTTTGAAAAATGGCGCCTCATGCAAATGCAACTACCCACATTACATCTTTTTTGCTGGTTTTTCCTAAAGAACCAATGAATTTATTACGTACAATTCATGGGCTGTTTCAAAAATGCAATTCCCCCCCCCCTCTTTTGAAGAATGAAACAAGGAAATTATCTCACCCTTGTTCCATTGGTAATATTTTTCTAAAGTTAGTGAGTTGCCTTCAAAACCCAGCAATTTGCAACGATGAAAAAAACATGCAAGTGAAGCTAACTTGGTCCACAGATTTCGATCGGCTAAGCCCAGCCATCCATTATGTCGCGCTCCTTTTAAATGGGCGAAATTGTGGTTTTGGGACCTCTACTATACTCGAAATCTTTTTTTAATCATTTTGAACAGTTTTAAATCTTTTTAATTTTAATATTTTGTTGTTTAACCCAATGATTAAATAAATATTCATTCATCAATTTTAAAAAAATGTCATCATTCATAAATAAATAGACCATAGTCTTTTAAACACATCATTATTTACGCATAGACAGTTACTTTAATAAATTTAATGGTCACATTAATATATTAAGGTTTAATACAAAAATAAGTGTTTAAATTATATTTTGAAATATGATTTGGTGCTTAAACAATTTTATGCTAAAAATAGGTGTATAATGTTTCCAACGTTATACTTTTACGTGTCTGGGCATTAACCATCGTTAAAAATTTCTATTAAGTGGCACGTGTCAAGTTTTAGTAATTTTGAGAATTTTTATTTAATATGTATATATATATTTAAAAAAACTTTTTTTCAAATCTTAAAAAACCCAAAACTTTTAAAACCCTAATTTTAATCCCTTTGCCGCAACCGATCAAACACCAAAAAATGATATAAATTAAAGATTTCATTTTAGGGTTTTGAATCCCTAAAAATCCTTTTGGTCATGGTAATTAGTGTTTGATCGGATATGACAGTCGGTTTGTCGTGGCAATCAGCCATGGCAGTCGAGCTTTATCCATGGTAGTCGTGGCAATCAACGTTCAATAATCAGAGATTCAACAAAGTAGTGTCATATAATTGAGATATCATTTTGTAACTTTTAATAGTTGGGGACTCAACAAAGCAACGTCCTACTGTCGAGAGACCACTTAGTAACATTAATAATTAGGGAACTCAATAAAATAATGCTATATGGTGTGAACCATTTATATACTTTACCCTTCTTTTTATTGCATGAATAAGTCAAGTGTCGTCCCGTGGGCCGTGATTGAATATTCAATTGATTTTCGCGGACTGATGCTCCGAGCACTCAGTCCCGCAATGTTTATGGACTGCGTTCCATAGTTGAAGACATATAGGTGGGCTCTCTCCACAATGGCCCTTGTGAGATAAACTCTAGATGTGATGCAAGCTTTGCTACCTCCATCAAAGCTCTCCATGACGGAATGATCAATCTGTTAAAACAAAAATATATGATTAAAAATGGCTGGTTCAAATTAAACTCTCCACATTTGTCTAAATCTAACGATAAACTCACCAAGGTCCTCAATGACAATTGTTGTCGTTCAATGTCCACGTCCACAAAAGCTCCGTAAGTGGTCTTGTCAACGTCTTGATCCAGGGAAGAATCGGATGGGTTGGTACACATTAAGACACATACTTGATCCTGAATTTGAAAATTCGAAAGAAGACTATCATGTTCTCTTACCAATCACTGGATGCCAAAATTAGAAGCACGAATGATCCCAGACTCCCTTGAACCAATGCACCCTTTCGACTGCATAACAACTGTGGGTTAGTCCAGCTTTGTTCTATCATCTTATCAATTTCAAGATCTTTTATCTCAAAAGAAATTTCAATGTCCGCCTGCACAAATATGAACAAAACAAGAAGAGAATATGAGACACGTGGACAGAAACCATTGTTAGGGTTTTTTCATCAGCAAGACCAAATTATTTACACTGTAACACTTCAATGACAGAAAACTTCAAAAATGAATCCTTCTTCCAGCAATTTGTTTATCAGGTTGACATGGTTTCCACGCAAATTTTGTATTTTAGCTATTGGCCAGAGTAGTTGTTTCCCTTCTACGATCAACCAAATGTTCCTTGGAATTGCATAGAGACAACAATGGGGATTTGATTAGCAGTAATTGAAACTCGGAGACTTTCAAAATAATAAAAGTGCAATAAAATACTTACCTGAACACTTGCCCATCTTCTTCTGACATCATCGGCCACACTCGAAGATTCATTTACTTAGACTGTTAAGATTTTTTTCCCATCTTGTCCGCGTTATAGAACGACTTGGAAGCATAATACTTCCTGCAATCATATCGCAATGCACACTCTTCCTCTAGGGATCCAATCATCAGTGTAAATACCTAATTTGCGACGACGCACGTGTCCAATGTGTACATACCTTTCCTAGTTATCCGAGTAGTTTATCGGAGTTAGTTTCACTTTTTCATTTCCAAAGCTTTAGCAGAAAAGAGAAAAGTAAGCCGAAAATATTAAGTAAAAAAGAAATGGTAGCTTTGTCAATGGTTCCATTTTTGGGCACAGTTCGATCCACGCCTCCTTTGACGAGTTTCGCTCCAGACAGACGCCAAATATCAATACAAAACTCTCCAATTTCATTTGCAAGGAATGGTTTCTTTCCATTCAGGAGGTTTCTTCAAGCTTGCCCTCAATCTTGTACGTACTTTTCTAACTAATCTCTAATCTTTTTTGTTATTGTGTCTGGATCCTCTTATAATTTGTTTTACGTTTCTGGGATTAGTATCCAATTAAATGCATGATTATCTTTTCTGGGTTTCAGTTATTTTCATAGAATTTTTATTGGTTTTGTTTGTAATAAGATGAGATTTGTTATTTTCTTAGGATTGATGTTATTCGTAGTGGATAAGCTATCTTGGGTTCTCTTTGAATTTAGATGCAAATTTAGGCTCTTTTGGATAATTGATCATACGTTGGCATCTCTTGAATGTGGTATTATATTGTTTAGATTGTGTGGAGTGACAATGGGGAAGCATGGTGGATCGATTACTCGACTTAATCTTTGTCAAAAGATTGGTTATTCTTGTTGATAGTGCTAATGAGGGTGTAATGATTTTATTTTGCTATTGCTTGGCACCTAAGGATTAGTTATTTGTAGTGACAGTGCCTTGAATGCAGATTTTGCTACTGGTGGTACTAGCCAAAAGTCATCTACAGAGCAATCGGAGATAATTTTTATAGGGACAGGAACTAGTGAAGGCATTCCTCGCGTTAGCTGCCTAACTGACCCTTTAAAGAAGTGCCCGGTATATTGGCCATCTGAACTGATCTCTTAATCATAATCTGCTTTCCCTTGCTTTCTTTGTATTTCCTTGAAACTTCTGCTTTGATTGTTTGAAGACGGTCAATGGTTTGTGGTTTTCACAGGTTTGCATCAAAGCAGCAGAGCCTGGTAACAAAAACCGGAGACGTAATACAGGCTTACTTGTCCGTTATTCTAAGCCTTCTGGAAGATGCAACATTCTAATAGATGCTGGCAAGTAAGTGAAGGTTACCTTAATGAAAGCAAGTGTTCCTTTAGAAGTTAGTTGTAAAAGCTATTATTGAAAATGCTATCATTTCTGGGGAATTTGTGATCTAAACAGATTCCATTTGACTCCAGATTTTGTACTTCTCTCACAATTATTTTACATGCTGGCATTTGATTGTTAATACAAAATTGTTACAGTTATCATGTAAAAGGAAATTTTCAAAAAAAGCCAATTGATTGTTTTCCTTTAGCCAAAAGAAATGGCAGTTGAAACATTAAGCATTACAGGTTAACTATGCCTAAATTGGGGTATAACCTTTTCAAAGTTTGGCGCATTTATTTTGTTTTTGCCTTAAGTAGAGAACAAAATCAATCAAAGATTCTTTCTCATTAGTGCTTACTGCCTAATGCTTAATGGCTGCTGAAATTGTTGCTAGCTTATTCAATACCTAGATAAAATTATCTGATGACTTTGTTTTGTAGGTTTTTCTACCACAGTGCTCTTCAATGGTTCCCAGAATTTGGGTTAGTTTTTAGTGTTTCTCTTTCTTAAAATTTTTAGTTAACTTAAGATATTAGATGGTCTATGATGTTCAATATATTAACACTAGAGTATGTTCATTATAGGGTGAAGTTCTAGCCTTTGTGGTGTTCTTAGATACCATTACATTTTTAGTTTTGGGAATATGACCTAATGTGTGATATCTTATTCTTTTCCTGCTCTAATGGCTGGGATATAACTTGGGAACAGACCTTGTTTCCCTAAGCCTCTTTTCCCCAACCTGATGGAGTTAATATTTGATAGTAGATTATTATGATGATCATCAATGCGCTTCTGTGGTTGCTTTCCGTGCATCTTTACAATATTAGTGCATATGACTTGATATTTTTGAAATTTTGAAAATTACCTCCCTCCCACCTTTGTAGTCTCATACACCTTATTAACTGTGCCTGTGACAGAGAACTTTTTATCCTTCCATTAGTAGCTCTCAGTAATTGCATTTTGAACTGTTGATTTGGGGGTCTGTGATATTATAATACGTCCCCTTATACAGTTGGCACCACGAACCAGCTAGTTGGATTTTTTCATGTTCCCATTATACTCTGTTCACATTTTATCCAGGAATGCAGTTAAAATTCTCGTCTTATTATTGTTGGTTTTACACATAAATGTTAATGTTTTCTCATTTCTGTCTTAACTAGCATTAAGGACTTTAAAACTAAGTTGACTGAACATATGATTTTGTGAATATTATAAGCTTTCACTCATTTCAGAGCTCATTTTAATGCCCCTTAAGTGTAACATTACTAAGAATGTTCGTTTCTGAGTTTATTATCAATTCTTCAAGGTTATTAAGCATCAAAGACCCGTGGTGGAAATGTTATTCTGATTATCTTATGGTATATATGTCGACTGTCATGTATTTTCCCTGTTGTAACTGGTTGCATTTCTGTCAGGATAAGAACAATTGATGCGGTTATAATTACTCATTCTCATGCTGATGCAATTGGAGGTCTCTGACTTGAACACTTTCTAATGTTACTCTCTAAATAGATATTCCTATAATGATTTATTTAGTTTTTGCCTTTCCCCCCTTTCCTTTTATAGAAACCCGCATTTTCCCACATAGATTTTGTCTTAATGCTTCCTCAGGTCTTGATGATCTACGTGATTGGACGAACAACGTGCAGCCAACTATCCCGATTTATGCTGCAATGCGTGATTTTGAGGTCCAGAAAATCATTTCTACCTTTCTCTGTCATATTACATATGAATATGTGATGGTCATGTAGATATATGTTTGCCTGTGTCTGGTAATAAACTATGTTATTGGAAATATCCTGCATTTTTTGAGTAAAAAGTGGAAAATTATCACTGGTTCTTTGATGCTTAGAACAATTGTATAATATCTTCCTTAACAATTTCAGGTGATGCAAAAGACTCATTATTATTTGGTGGATACAAGTGTGATTATACCGGGTGCTGCAGTCTCAAAGCTGCAATTTAATATCATACGTGAAGAACCTTTCGTCGTTCATGATTTACAGGTGATTAGACATTTACTCACTTGGTACGAATGAGAATTTCTTTGCTCAATATGCATTCCGGTAACTGGAATGAAGGTTTTAAATTAAGTTTGACTGTCGAAAAGTGAATTGGGCCTTACAGACAGATTATCTGTGTATTTGACTCTCCTTGCATCATGACGTAAAAGAAAAGGGGAAAAGGCAGTTGAACAGCTTAGTGTTAAATTGAATATATTTTTGCTGCATTCATGCATATTGTTGCTGAAACATGCTTAATAATCTATTTGATAAGAATGGATGCCTAAATGTATGAAATTAAGACACCAGCTCCCCTTCAACATTAATACATTTCAGGTCACCTCTGGTCATAACTTGTGTTCTCTGTCTAAATTTGTGATAGATTATCCCTTTACCAGTGTGGCATGGTCGTGGTTATCGCTCACTAGGTTTTCGTTTCGGTGATATTTGTTACATCAGGTAATACTTTTATGTGTTAAAAATATTAGAAGTTTTACTTTTCCTCTTTTCATTTTTTTTCTTCGTTCAGTTTTCGGCAAGTCATTATTCATCTGATAATGACATTGCAGTGATGTCAGCGATATACCCGGAGAAACTTATCCTCTTCTGGAAAACTGCGAAATCCTCATTCTGGTCATCTCTCTCTTTCTAGATATATGTGTTTGTACGATGTTGATACACAAGAATTAACATCGGGATACTTAAGCCCATACGTAAAATGTTATCTCAGGATGCTTTGAGGCCGGATCGATCTTCATCAACTCATTTTGGACTTCCAAGGGTATTTTCCTGTACATCTTCTGGGAAGAAACAACATTAAAACCCTGAAACTTACACTTAAGTTTGTTGTATGTTATATTTAGGCTTTGGAGGAAGTACAGAAGATTAAGCCGAAGATGACACTCTTTACCGGTATTTCTGTAGTTTCAGGCCTTTGTCACCGCAATTTAGTTCCATCCATGTAAATTTGTTCCATTTAGGATTAAATTCTTATAATTGCGTGCTTTGCTGTTGTGGTTTTATGAAGGCATGATGCATCTGATGGACCATGAAAAAGTGAGTGAATACCTTGACAACCTGAAGCAAACCGAGGGTCTCGATGTACAACTTAGCTACGATGGATTGCGTATACCGGTAACACTCTAGCTTTGTTATATTTTAGTTTGTGGTCGGTGAGAACTCGTTGCACCATAATCTGCAGGTGAAATATTCAATGAGCGAACATCACAAAACATTTATTCTTGGGCTGCATTATGCATATTCCCCCATATAGCTTTCTTTCTTTCTTTCTTGGTGAATCCCCAAAATCTCCATTTTTATATGCTCTTGTCTATGCACTTTGATGATCTTGATATTTGGTTTCACCATTTGTTTTTGGACAATCCTTGTCTCATAGCTCGTTAAAAATAAAATTTTGTCAACAAATTCATTGATGACCGATGCTTTTAGTAGTCTGATGTGTATCAAGTTTAATTCGAAACATAAAAGCTCAGAATACTTTTGATTTTGATATTTTCATATCTTTAGAAAAAAAATATATTTACCCATCTTTTAAAATTACTTAGCAATGATTAAATATTTTTAAAATTTTAAATTTATGAGATGTCAAAACGAATTTTGCTGCCTGTCCCTGACAGAGAAGGAAATCTGAAGACACGTACCTTGCACGGCTCTGTCAAACTCAGGTCCAATCACAATCACCCACGTTTACGAGCCTGCCAATTTACGAGCTCCTCCATTGGTCCTTTACACTGCGCTGATAATTAGATAGTAATAATAATCTCTAAAATATTTATTTTCCTCTTTCGCTGTCATTTCAACAACCACTACTTCACATAATATCTCAACACCATTAATTATCGATTTAATTTCAATGAAATTAGATAATTAATATTAGATTTAAATGGCAAAACTTCGAGATAATGTTATGAAAGAAATTAATTCACGAGTTAATGCACTCCCAAGATTAATTGCTCAAATAGGGTGAAATTCATAGTGTTGACGGTAGGTCGTCATGCATTCCGGGCGACCTACAAGGTCGCCATGCACTCCGGGCGACCTACCCTTGTTCAAACAGAGAGAATGAACGTGAGAATGAACGTGTTGCATGGCACATGCACGTCCCAACACATAGGTCGTCATGCCCTCCGGGCGACCTTGTAGGTCGCCATGCACTCCGGGCGACCTACACTCGCTCGGCTTCCCTCGGATTTCCTCGCGTAGCTCGCCCGGTTGCCCTCGCATAGCTCGTTCGGATGGCCTCGGTCGGATGGCTTCGGATGCCCAGCGTGTTGGGATGTGCATGGCACATGCAATCTCTTGTAGCTCGCCGGGAAGACATGGCGACTTAGTAGGTCGCCCGGAAGGCATGGCAACCTACTGCCAACACTGTGGATTTCATCTTATTTGAGCAATTAATCTTGGGAGTACTTTATCTCATGAATTAATTTTTTTCAAAACATTATCTCAAAAGTTTTGCCGATTTAAATTATGGATTTGAAAAAATTATTTTTATAGTGATAACTGCACTAATATTAAATTCAATTTTATTTTTTATATGCAAAATGTATTATATATATATATAATTCATTTTAGGAGTCAACTGACATCTTTTATAACTTTATCACTAGTAAGACTTGACGATGTAAAGTATCTATTTTAAAATATGAATATTTTTAAGATGTTTATTTTATGAATTGTATCTATCATATAATTTTATTTATGTTCATTTTGCATAAAAAATTCATGTTATTAATATATATATCCTAAAAGTTTTTTTAGATATATCATTATTCATCGATAAAGATGATAATAGTAATAATTTCCCACGTTCATGGTTGAATATAAGCTGTTTTTCTATAATTATCATGAATTTTAACAATTTTTTGATTCAAATTTATGAACATACATGCATTAATTATTGTGGTCTTTTGTTGAAAAAGGATTATTGTGGTTTTACAATCACACTACACACATTTTAGTTATGATCATCATGCAAGCATGTGGGAAAAGGATAAAAGGAAGTTAGGTAGGCTTAAGAATTAGATTTTAATTTGTTTCTCATATAATCTAATTAAATGAAGATTAGGCTAGAATTATTTGGATGAAACTTGTGAGATTTTTCATCCAAAATGATGAAAAGAAATTTTAAATAAAAACATTTTTTTAATTTGAAATCCCCATTATTGTAATAGGATACTTAATTGGCAACTCAACTGAAAAATGAAAAAAAATCCTTATTTTTAAATGATAATATCATCGTTTAAATTACTTAAGAAAGTTAAAGGCACTGGCAGGTTAATTGACTAATCATGATTTACCCCTTTGAGATGAACATGGAACCCATTATTGAAATAAAGGTTTCTAGTGGATTTTCACGAGAGATGAACTAAATTTATAATTTACACATTATACAATAATCAATACTAAAATTTATTTATTTTAGATTAATTTTAATCTTGCATGCCTATTAAAAATAATAAAACTAGTGTTGATCGAGGATCAACATGCACTGAAAAACTGGGTTGTGAAAAATATAAAACATCCTATAAAATTCAACACCCGTTTTCGATTTCTTTTTTATTAAATCTAATCATTTTAATAATGATAACAACTTATAACCACATAAATACTATAAAAAAATGGCAAGTATGAAATATATATACTTTACTTAGTAGAAGAAATTAATAAAGATTAGGTAAAGTACATAAATGATCCCCTAACTATAAATACTATTTTATTGATTCCCCAACTATTAAAAGTTACAAAATAGTCTATTGATTATGGGTGTTATTTCGTTGAGTCTCTAACTATTAAAAGTTACAAAATGATCACCAACTATTCATATGTTCCAAACTTGTCATTTTTTATTAAAAAATGAACAGTAGTCCGAGATGAACGTTAATCTGTTGATCGGGTCAGAATAAAATTATATTTTAATAGTGTCTAGTGGCACCACTGTTGGTTTCAACATTGGCTTGACAACTTAATATTTCAAGCATTGACACGATGACATAATGTAAACGAAGAGTCGATCTACAAAATAAAACTCAAATGGTTCAGAATCATATTTTATCATATCATAGTTCATAGGTTAACATTCAACTTAGATGACTGTCAATTCTTTAACAGATAAATATAAATTACTATTTTATAACTTTCAATAATCGAAAAATTTAATAAAATAATATTTTATAATTAAAAAATTATTTTATAATTTTTGATAATTTAAAACCCAACAAAATAACATCTTAAATGAAAGCTACAAAATTAAAGCTACGTTAATGGCAAGTAGACAATCAAAATGAATTGATTTAATAGGGGTGAGAAAAGACCAAAGGAAAAAGACAGAAATTGCAACGTCAGAGCTTAGCCATCCTCTTTTTTGTTTCTCGTCTTTCTTGCAGTCTTCATTACAAATCCATCATCTTCTCCGTCTCATCCACATCTCTCTCTCAGTTTCATGAGCTAAAAATCCTTTTTCTTTATATTTTCTTCTTAATCTGCATACACTTTGTTTAGCAGAAGATGATGATGAAATGAAAGATTACATTTTCCACTACCAACAGAAACAACAACAAGAACATGCCTAATTTGACATCAGGCGGAGCAACTGTTTCCTCAAGGAACAGTGCGGGCGGCGGTGGCACCAACCACCAACCAGCTCAATCTCCACCGGTGAAGAGAAAGAGAAACCAACCGGGAAATCCAGATCCGGATGCGGAAGTGGTGGCTTTTTCACCCAAAACACTGATGGCAACAAACAGATTCGTCTGTGATATCTGCAACAAAGGGTTCCAAAGAGACCAGAACCTCAAGCTTCACCGGAGAGGCCATAACTTGCCATGGAAGTTAAAGCAAAGAACAAATAATGAAGTGAAGAAGAAGAAGGTATATGTATGTCCGGAAACAACCTGTGCTCATCATGATCCATCGAGGGCACTCGGTGACTTGACCGGAATCAAGAAGCATTATTCGAGGAAACATGGTGAGAAGAAGTGGAAATGTGAAAAATGCTCCAAGAAGTATGCGGTTCAATCGGACTGGAAAGCTCATTCCAAGATTTGTGGCACTAGGGAATATAGATGTGACTGTGGTACAGTATTCTCAAGGTAAAAAAAACACAATCAAAATCTTCAGGTATTGATGAATTTGAGTGTTTGTGGAAATTTTATGTGCAAATTTTGTTCCAGGAGGGATAGTTTCATTACTCACAGAGACTTCTGTGATGCATTAGCAGAGGAGAATTCAAGAACAATCATGGGAACATCTAATTCACAAGAACAACAACAAAGGTTCAGTAATGTTCATCCATGTCGGGTGGCTACTCAACCAATGTCATGGACTGGTCTTTCTTCATCGTCTTCAAATATATTCCCCCCTAGTTTCGATGAAAACACTCTCCCACCAGCACCAGCAGCTTGTACTGATTTCGGTGGACTTATCCATCCATGTGAAGATGAACATGCGGCAAGCTCAGGTGCTCCTCCTCTTCATAGTCATCATCCTTCGCTTCTTCTTCAAGAAATGATGAACTCTCTATCTTCTGCTGCTACTGGATTTGACGCCACGCCCTTTGATGACATTGCATTTAGTGGGGTTTTGAATGCGAAGAACAAGAATGGTTCTGGATCTGGAAATAATCATCCCCATGAAAGTAGTGGCGGCGGTGCTCATGGTCGAGGCTTGACAAGAGATTTTCTGGGTCTTAAGGCTTTCTCCGGTGGCGATTTTCTCAACATCGCTGATGTTAGCAACTCAATCAACAGTTCCCAGTCACAAAAACCATGGCAAGTTTAGCGTAATATAATTTCAGGTAATGTATATTCTAAATAATTTTAATTATTTAATAACGAATATTCAATTACTCATACTATAATTGTTAGTGTTCGAATACGAAACTTTTAGAATAACAATCATTCCTTAAATCAGTAAGGTAATTTAGTTCATACAAAATAACCATAAGAATATCTTGAAAATTCTTCCTTAATGACATAATTTTATAACTTAAATTACTTTAAATTTAACAATTTTAGTTAGGCGTCTTCGTCATGAAATTGTTAAAGCGTCAATTCAACACAACGCATGCGATGGTACAAATATTATTTGACGTTACAATAAGATTAATTTATTCGATTAAATAAATAACGTGAATGTCATAATACATTATTTACATTGAAAATAACAGTAAATAATGTAAGCTAGGCCCGATTCTCTTATCTAACAACATTATTACTTTGATTTTGATTATTGACACTATACATATGAAAAAAAAATTATATATGTGCATTTAAATTTTATTGCAAATTTTATAAATTTGTACATGATTATTTGAGTTTTTATTATATAATTTTAATAAAATTATTAATGTTGAATTTTCAAACTTATTATTCCGAATTATTTAAATTTTGTTGATTGATGTATAAATCATGTGAATATCAATGCGTTCATACGGCCATTGTAAAAAAAATCCAGTCTTAGAAAATTTTTGATACATAGTTATTTATTTGTCTAAAATCTTGAATTATATGAGTACCAATTATATACAGAATTGAGTAAAATAAAATATTAAATGGAAATAAAACAAGTTACATATGATTGATTCCATTTTTGTACTTGCATATATGATTGTTCCAATCCTATCAAACCTTAAAAGTAACGTGGTGAGGCACAATCAATTTAACTCAATGATTAAATAAATCGTTTTTATTTATAAAGACCGCGAATTCGAACATCAGTGATTATAGTGAGAATTTGAACGTTCATTATTAAATGATTAAAATTACAATTCATACATTCAACTAATATCAGGAAAATTGTACTATTAGGGTCAAGATGGAAGGAAAGAAAAAAATTATAAAAAGAATTAGACAAACTTTATTATAAAGAAGGTGTGTGACACGTATTGAAAATACATTTATATGAATAGAGATACAAGCATGAAATATCTTCGACTTTCGTACTTAATGAATGTTGTTTTTTTAAAATGATTTTTTAACATATTTAGTTAAATAATTAAAAATATATTATTCACATAAATTTATCAAAAAAAATCGATGAAATTCCGTCAGCATTTGCTTTCACCCAGTCCGAGTCGGGTTTCTTCCATCTTTTAACAGATCGATAAGCAATTTTATTCACAATATTAGCTTCATTAGCAGCCACAATCTCATTCTTAAGTTTCATATTTAAAGAAACTAGGTCTTCACGTTCAATGTAATCAGGTTGGAGCACCATGCTGCATCGACTCTTCCAAATCTTCCGATCAATGATAGGGAATAATAAATTCCAAAACAACCTGCCCCTGTAGGATCTAAGAGTCTTAGGATCCAAGAGTCATCGAGCATATTCATAAACCAGGTCTTCACGTTATGTAACACTTTTTTTTATCTGCGTGGAAGGAAATTTGATCATCAATTTTAATGGTTACTCTATTAAGATCAAAAGAAAATGTTAAACTTTATAATAAAAATATTACGAATTTGGAAAGATAAATGAACTGAACAATCATTTTGAGAAGTGCCAGCAGCTTTTAAACTCCATTGGAGCATCACTTAGTACCAAAGACATGTAAATTACCTAGTTTTTTTTAATGAACTGAACAATGTTGTTTTGGTTTTTATAGTTTATATTGTCTGCTTATATATCATGACATGCATTTGTTTAATCTTGTTTCCGACACATTTCGGACATTGATGTTGGGATAAAACGATACTCGAACCATTCGAGAAAGCTTAACATAGATGATAGGCTCTTAACATGTGCAAATGTGTTAGCATTATAGTGTTCCTTTTTATAACTTCAAAATTTTTTGGATGTTGGATTTGTAGACTGTTGAAGGACAAAACAAAAGGCAAGAGGAAAGTGAACAATTGCTGAATCAAAGGAGGTAAGTAGTTGGTTTTTGCGTTTGTATTTTCATCTGCAATCTAAGTTTTCCAAGTGTTCATTGTGTAAAATTCGTTTTTTTCCCCCAAATTCAAGTGATTTGATTGCCAATTTTAGAAGCACTGTTGAAGATCTTGTTAAGACTGAGCCATAGTTCACAGGTAAGGAAATGGATACATAAACAATTTGCAGTTAGAAGATATTCACGATCATTCGAAAACGGTTCTACTAAGAACTGATTGTAAACAATCTTTGATCAAAAATGCAATCTGCATGAGCTATATGCATTGCTTTTGTGTTTTGTGTAAAAGAAATATGTGAAAGACTGTTTACTCTTTAATAGATTGTGTTATAGTGTTCTAGGGAGCGCATATCACGCACGGGAAGATCCGAACTATGTAAATGCTTATATTTGTGTTCCATGAACTCAACGGAAGCGAAACGAATCTTTCCGTCAAATGAGTTTTTGAGTAATGAACACGAAAACCGGACCATGGAGACAAGTACATACCTATATATTGGAGAACGATGCTGCTACAGTTGTGGCTGTTGTTACTGATGCACTTATCCTATGATAGAATTACTTCATTATGCTGTTCTTGTATGATGCTGCTTTCATACACCGGATGTGCTTTCTTCTTTGATTCTTTCGTATCGATGATTGTTCGACATTGCTGCATTCAGGTTGAGAGCTCTCTGTTCAAATCCGAAGGGTCGGACGGAATCACCTGCAGTCACGGAATCAGATCATATTCATCTCTTTGTTTCGAAATTAGAGAACTCTTAATATCATGTTCAAATGCAATCTTTTCCTTTTCCTTCTCTCTTTTTGGTACCATTGATGCTCATGTATAGCACTGAATCTCAATGCCTGGAAGTGGCAACTGGATGTTCATAAAAGTTCAAATAAGATTGATAGAACTTTGTTCATGTATTGCATTCGAGTCGAAACTTATTGAATTCGACACTTTAAAACGAGCTAATTGAATCCGAAATCCAAGTTAAATATAGTTAGAACAATGAAAATCTTTTGAAGTTAACAGAAATTTGTTGAACTGTTCACTTCTTTGACCCTTTCCCCTTCATATACCTACATGTCTTTCATTCCTTTTATTTCTCTCCATCTCTTATTTTCCATCCTTTCCTCCAGAAATAAGCATCCCATTTTAAAAAAAATTAAAAACATACAAAAAAAAGCTGCACCATCCCCGGCGGCAACGCATCCGATATCTAATCCTTTCAATCTAATCAACAACAAAAGAGAAAGATATCCCTCCACAAGAAAAACATGAGCATTTCGAGAACCGGTAGTAGCGGTACTACGCAAGCTTGCTACGCGTGTAAATACCAACGTAGGAAGTGTGCACCGGACTGCATCCTCGCCCCGTATTTCCCTCACGATCGACAACGACAGTTCCTGAACGCGCACAAGTTGTTCGGGTGAGCAACATAACCAAGATCATCAGGAACCCAACCCTCCAGAAAAGGACATCGCCATGCGCACGATCGTGGTCCAATCCGACGCGCGTGCCAACCACCCTGTCGGAGGGTGTTATAGGATCATACAAGAACTCCAACGACAAATCGAATACAGCCAGGCCGAACTTGACCTCGTTTACCATCAACTAGCCATATGTCGAGCACAGGCCGCCCAACAACAACCTCAACAACATAACGATTTAAACCTAGGGGGTGACATAATCAATCCCCAAGATCCATTGAACTCGTATAATTCGAACTATTACTACGTTCAAGAACCTGACGACGACCTATTCGCAATAAACAACGACGACGACAACAACAATAACCAACACCAACAACAACAACATGAGTTGCATGAAAACTACGATCATTCATGGGAAATACACGAATCAACGATGGCATTGTCCACGTTGAACATCAAGCAGAGTTTTATGAAACAATGTGACAACAACGAAGTAGTACATAATGATGATGATGATGATGGAGTTAAGCATGATTATAGAATACCGTGTGAAAGGCATAACGAGATGAAGTTTGAGATCGAGGACATAGTTGAAAGGAGGTTTGTGCCATCGACACAGCTGGTTATGTCATCTTAATAACCATATAACGTTTTTTTAATTATGAGAGAGTGATGAATATACGATTAATATAAGAGAGAGAAACAAATAAACGACAGTCTCATAAAAAATGGCTTTTGATATGTTATATGGGTGTCTATTTCGCTTTCTTGTCTCCATGTAGTTGATCTCTTAAAAAGATCATTTGAAATAATACTTTTTCCAGGTTTATTTGAAATAATATTCTGTTAAGTATTTTTTAGGTCCTCGAGATCAGATAAATTAAATAGTTGGTTTAAATATTTTTAAATCCTTTCCAATTTCAAAATTAGACAAATTAATCCTAAGTCTGAATACTGGAATTAGTATTAGCAGAAGAGCAATCAAGTTGTTGACGACCCCATGCATAAGCTGCGTCTTAGGACTAATCAGTCTTGGACAAAAAGGAAGAGCAATTAATTTGATCTATTTCCATATTATTTTGAGGACCCCATGCATGTACTATACCTACTTGTTAGCCACTAATTCTCCTATTAAATATTACACTTCCTTCACGTAAACAACGTATCAACATCATAAATCCCAATTATAATTTTAAATTCTTAAACATCATTAATTAATTATTGATTATATATATTTATCCATAAATCTAATCTGATTTGACCTACAAATAAAATCTTTTAGGGTAAACCACGTATCTAGCAACCCAACTATTCTTTTTATCTGTTGTGGCCACTTAACTATATTTTTTTTAAAATCATATCTAACGTTACGTTTTAGTTTCATTTTGATCACCGGTTATTAAAAAATAACGATGATATTAACGTGTTATCATAAGATAATATCAAATCATTATTGAAAAAAATAAAAAGGCTATCATATGAGTATTCCGTTTATTATTTTAATGATAGATAATCAAAATGAAATTGTAAAAATAGGTGAATGACTAAATATGTAGTTTATTCAATCGTTTAACGAGTATATTAGTAATTTTAAAATTGGGTAAACTACTTATTTAGTACTTAAACCATTAGTTTTATTTCATTTAATACTTAAAACTTTTATTTGTTTTAAAATCATACATACTATTTACTTTTTGTTTTATTTTAGTATTTGTCGTTAAAAACTTACCATACTATATTTTTGTATGAGTAAATTACATCATTCATCACTCAACTATCTTCTCACTCCTATTTTGGTCACTAAAGTTTAAAAAATTTCAATTTAATTACTCAACTTTCAAATTACTCCTATTTTAATCACACTAATTTATTTTATTAGTAATTTTTTTGTGATCTGACATTTTATTATTTTATTAATATATAATTGAAATAAAAAATTAATTTTGAAAGTTAAAGTGATTAAATTAGGAGTAATTTGAAACTTAAGTAATTAAATTAAAAAAAGTAAACTTTAATGACCAAAATATGAGTAAAAAGATAGTTGAATGAAGAATGATATAATTTACCTATGAAAAAGGTGCCACGTACAACTCACTCGTTAAAAGTTTTAACGGTCATGTACTAAAACGAAATAAAAGGTAAACGTTAGATGCGATTCTGAAACAAATGAAAGTTTATGTGTTAAAACAAAAAAATTGATAGTGTAGGTGCCAATGTGTAGTTTACCCTTTTAAAATTGATAAATAAAATAGGTTTCCATAAAATGCAAAGTAGCCTTGACTTGAGATGTAGAGTCTCCCACCCTCTAGAATGGGACCCTAATATAGGGATAGCAACGGGTCGGGTTCGGGCCGGGTATTGGTCCCCCCGTCCCCGTCCCCGTTTAAAAAACCGGTATCCGTCACCGTTTAAAAAACCGCGGGGATTTAAGCGGGGATCCCCGTCGGGTAATCGGGGAAAACCGCGGGGAAACGAGTATCCCGTTTAGCATAAACGGTTATTTAAACGGGTATTGGGTCGGGTATTGGGTCGGGTATTGGGTCGGTATTGGGCCGGGAATCGGGCCCGGTATATATATATATATATTTAAATTAAATATATATATTTTATTTAAATTAAATTTATTAATATTATATATATATATAAATAATTATTTTTAATATTTATCGGGTCGGGTATCGAGGTGGGTAATCGGGGCGGGTAATCGGGTAATCGGGGCGGGGATTACCAAACCCGTCCCCGTCCCCGTCCCCGTTTAAAATAAATAAATTTTCCCCGTCCCCGTCCCCGTCCCCGTTTATCATCCCCGAACCCGACCTGTTTAATTCGGTTTTCGATTTTTCCCGTCGGATTCGAATTTTTTTACCATCCCTACCCTAATACTTGACAATCACCCTCCACAATAATTGTCCACTCCTTTGGAATCTCCTACTGACACTAATATTCCGTAAATTATGCCCAAATATTTTTAATCATTTTCATTATTTATATCAAAAGTCTAACAAATACTTTTTTTAATCATAAGAAAGCCTAATTAACGTCTAGGCTTACAATACGATGGACTATGGCTATCTAGTCTGTATAACGCTCGGAGACAGCTCATATATGTTCAAGATTGACAGTGAGGATCGGCTAGCTTTGTTAATGAGTTTGCAGGGAAGTTTCCTTCACGGGAAATTCAGGTAAAGTCAGTCACCCATGCACGTTGACGAAGTCTGTGCATAGATCAAACCAAAGGGATCAGGCTTGTGGCTGCATTTGTGTCGTGAAGAACTTTTATTGTTTAGGCGTTATCGGATTGAACTTGGAGAATTTTCGATCCGTAACACCAAACAACTTGCAATCCTTGGTATATGGATGGCCCAAAGTTCGGCATGAAAGTTGTCCATAATACAAATGGCTTTGTTGAATACGAGAAGTCAGCGACCAGAGCTACCTCTCAGCTGACCACCCACGGAACTAAATCTCGAGCTTGGTGACACAGCTCCATCGACATTTAAACACATCCAGCCCGGCTCAGGGTGTTGCCATTGTATGAAGTCCAAGGTCCGCGAATGCACTTTTGATGAAGATGAGCAACGATGATAGTAGTTTGCCTAAACGATGGAGCGGTGGTAGACAGCTGCTGCAGAAGGTTCTCCATTGTTAAACACATGATTATTCATGTCCTTCCATAAGTGCTACAATAACGAAACAAAGATAGTGCTCCAGGGGATGCTTTTTGTGGTGACTATGCTGTGAGAGGAAAGATTCAGCTGCAGCCAATCCTGTAAAGGGTACTGGAAAAACACATCACAAGAAAAATAATTGGTTGCATTTAAAATATGTTTCCATAGAGCTTTGGTTTGAGGACAATCCCTAAGGATATGCAAAACAGTTTCGTCCGCACCATTGCAACGAGGACAGGAAGAAAGATGAGAGATTGAACGACGAGAGAGTTCCAAATTGTCCAAAATTTCTCCTTATAGACTTGCCATAAAACTGTATGATTCGTTGTGGAACCGGGGTGCTACAGATCACATTCCAAATAGAGTTCATGGGTTGCCAGTTTTGCTCAGCTAGGTGAGAACGAGCCGAATTTATATCAAACCTATGATTAGGAGACCAGCGCCAAACACAAGAGTCATTCATGTCAAGAGCATATGGAGACTGGGTACCTAAAATGTGAGGAATAGCTTCTGGGTTAAAGATGCTGCAGAGTTTTTGTAAATCTCAATCGCCATTATCAACAAACAGATCCGATGGAGTGAGAGCAGCGCTATTATCATCCGTATCCAGCATATAATTCCTCAACGTGCAAAAAGTGAGAATCCACACGTCCTCAAAGATGTTGATATGATTATCGTTACCCACCGTCTAGAGAATGCTATCAAGTAGAATCAGTCAGCTCTTAGAGATCCCCCTCCAAAGTGGCGTACATATTAGATTTGGCTTGAAATTAATTTGGTAAGTTGGAAATTTTATCTTGGTTGGTGGCCAAACTTTGAATATGGGAATTTCATATTTGGTGGCTAACTTGTACACATTGAAAAATTCTTTGGTAGGTGACCAACTTATTTTTCATGTTTGATCCCTAAAGTATTAGGTTATTTATAAGTTTAGTCCTTTAAACTCAACTATAAATAGACCTAAGTATTTCATTAGAAATCATCCCAAAATCAAGTTCTCTCTTCCTCTTGTATTCTTAATTCTCCCACTTTGGGAATTCTAAAGAATTCCATTTGTTGTAATATTGGTGATATAGTGAAGTTATCATCCGGTATGGTGCCCGAGGAGTAGACGATATTCTCGTCGAACCTCGTAACTTTAGTGTGTTCTCTCTTTTATTGTTTTTATTCGGTTTTTTCCATTGTTTCAATATTCAATAGTTTGACAGATTTATCCACTGTGCAACCTTTGGTGATTTTTATCTTGACATTTTAGGTCAATTTTGAAACTACGTTTGTGTGGGAAATAACCCGATTTACCCAACAATTGGCATCAGAGCTTCGGCTGAGGTTATCCTGGTGGTTTCGTTGCTGAAAAGATACAATTCGTGCTATTGAATATTGTTCGTTGGAATTAAAATGCCAAAATACATATCAGTTGAGACATCAAGCTCTTCATCCGGACCGGTGAGGAGGATGATGTCAAATGCAAATTTCTCGGTGGAGTTGTTCGATAGATCCAGTCATTTTGGCATGTGGCAAGGCGAGGTGTTTGACGCTTTATTCCAACAAGGTCTATACATCGCCATTGAGGAAGAAAAGCCCGAATATATGGAGGAGAAAAAATGGGGAACAATCAATCGTTTGGCGTGCAACACGATTCGATCTTGCCTTTCCAGGGAGCAGAAGTATGGCTACAAGAACGAGACTTCTGCAAGTAAGATGTGGAAAGCATTGGAGAAAAAAATCCTAAAGAAAAGCTCTCATAATCATCTCTACATGAAGAAAAGATTGTTCAGATTTGATTATCAACCATACACCAGTATGAATGAACACATCACTGCGTTCAATGAGCTAGTGGCAGACTTATTGGGCATGGATGAAACCTTCAAAGATGAAGATTTGACTTTGATGTTGTTGTCATCTCTTCCATATGAATTTGAGAACCTTGAGACAACGTTACTTCATGGTAAGGATAATGTTACCCTTAAAGATGTAACTGCTACTTTGTATAGTTATGAGCTCAGGAAGAAAACCAAGAAGGAGGGAAAGTAC